GGTCATAGTTACATGGATTTTTTTCTGGCGTGTTTTCGTCTCCTGTGGATACACTGTGCTTCGTAGTCTCTGCTTATCATGTTAAGTGGGCCTTTAAAAGTTTATTTATTTTTATTTGAAAGGCAGAGCAGCAGAGAGAGAAAGAGAGCTCTAATCTGCTGGTTCAGTCCCAAATGGCCACGATAGCCATGTCTGGGCCAGGCGGAAGTCAGGAGCCATGAACTCCATCCGTTTCTCCCAGGGGCCCAAGTACTTGGGCCATCTTCCACTGCTTTCCCAGGTGCATTGGCAGGAAGCTGGATTGGAAGCAGAGTGGCTGGGACTTGAACCAGCATTCTGGTACAGGATGCCAGTGTCGCAGGGAGTGACTTATCCCGCTCTACCGCAATGCTAGCCCATGAGTGTGGTTTTATCTGGGGCCTTCTCTGTTACTCTTCTTTATGTGAAGAGAGGAAAGGAGACTTGTGGAGACAGAGTGGTTGAGAGAACAGGACCCCTCTTCTGTTGTCATGTGGTGTGCACGTATCCTGACAACCCCGGCTGTGTCCTCTTCCCTCGTATCCGTTTGGGCGTTCTCTTTCCTTTATCCCTAGTGTCGCTCTGCCGCTCAAATGTGATTCCATGTCAGCAACTCCCTTCCTTCGCCATAGGACCCTGGCCCAGGAGGAGATGCTGGGGGGAGGGCCTGTTTCATGAAGTCGTGGATGCCAGTGTGGGTGTGCCCTCTGGGACAGCGCGGTAGCCGCCCAGTGTTACTGCAGCTCTCAGCTTGGCACGGCGTGTGCCTCGGGGCCCCTTCTCCCAGGGCTTGTCCTCAGGGCCCCTTCTCCCAGGGCTTGTCCTCGCTGCCCTGTCGCTTCCCTCTGCCTTCTGCTGCACAGGTGCCCGGCAGGCCTTTGCTGTTGCCGTGCCCTCGGCCTGTGTGGCGTTTGGGGGGTGCTTCGTCACCTGACTCGGGTATGTAAGTGCCGCCTGCGGGACTGTGGCTTTTCTATCCAGGTGCTCTCTCTTTTTTTTAATGTGGGGATTTAGACAGATTAAAAAAATTACGCTGCTGTCACTGCTGTCTTCCCAGAATCCCTTTCTAAATAGGCATTTTGAATAACGCTAATAAATCCCCCTCCATAATAATCCCACAGGCCAAAGCACAAGGGAAGGAAGCTGCCAGTGTGGAGAAATTGAAGGCCATCCTGCAGCTGCTAATGGGCCCGTTGATGACGGGGATCAGAGCTCATTTGCTTCACAAAAGTGATTATTCTGATGGCTCCTAACTCTGAGCAGAACTCCCCAGCCAGGGCTCCGTGGAGGTCTCCAGCAGCTGGGCGATCCCCTCCGCCTCCAGTATGGACCAGGGGGAGCAGGACCTCTGGACTGGGCTGCCTTGTCTGTTCTCCCAGGGGGACAGACAGCTGGCACTTTGAACCTCACCTGTGGACTGACTTATTCACCAACCATTTCTTATTTGAAATGGAGTCTCTCTTATTTAAAAAAATCTCAAGCCTACTGAAAAGTGACAAGACTCATAAAATAACTTGGGCACATGTGCCCTTCAACCAGCTTCATATTTTGTGTATTTTATTTATTTCCATTTTTTTCTAATCTGTGAGTAAGCACATTTATAGATGGTATATGCAGATACATATGTGTATATATTTTTTTTCTTAAGTGTGTGAAAATTATTTCAGACATCATGATTTCCCCCCTAAATCCTTTTGTAATTATCTTGCAAGAACAAGGGCATTTTTCTATATTACCACAATGTTATTATCCCGTCCAAGAAAACTGACAGTAATTCCATTGTATCTTATATGCAGTTCATATTCACTAATTCCTTAAATGTTCCTAAAGAATCTTTTATGGCAGTTTCCCCAGTTCAGGACTCAAACCCAGTTTATGCGTTACCTTTGGTTGGGGCATTGCTAAGCTGTCCTTGAACCTGGATCCCGTTCTGTGCGCTGTGTGGGATGTTGGGGGTGTGGGCACTGGGCAGGCTCAGTTCTCGCTTGTGATGAGGCCAAGGCTGAGGAGCAGCCATTATACTAAAAGCAGTGACAACTTGCAAATGCTAGAGCTTCCTTCTCTTACCCTATACCAAAGAGTTTCAGTTCAGCATTTTAACAGATGGCATCCAGTTCCCTCCTGGTCTTACAGCTCACCATGCCTGCCTGTCTTTCTGGAATGCACAGGGGTCCCTTCGTGTTTGGGCACTGACCAGTGGAAACCAACTGAAGACCCTTCCGGGCGTGTCATCCTGCTCCTCTTTCTGCTGGGAGCCATGCTCTCAGAAATGTTTGGTGTCATGTTTCAGTCATTTGTCCCCGAGGTGTGGGGTGGAACGGAACACAGCAGAAAAATGTTTTCATGGAATGTGGATCAGTCGCAGTGGCAGACAGCTTGAAGGAGTCTCATCATCTTGCGGCTTTGTCAACTCTTGCAGGCATTAGCTGTGGGGGTGGGGTGCGTGGGACGGGTTTGGGCAGGGTTGCTTGGGCTTTCTCAGGAATGTGGTTTATTTGGCTGCACCCTCTGGCACTCTGCATGGAGGGTGGTGTGTGTATGAGAGCAGGCTGGTGGTGCTGATGCCGTGATTGGCCGAAGGCTGTGTGTATGAACCTGGTCTTAGTATTCTTCTGACCTAATTTTGCCCTGGCCATGTACTCCTGGTCTCCAGGTGTCTGTGGAGTTTGTCCGACTCAAGAGTTCATGTGCAGTGTGGGTCTCACACTACGGGGCTGGTGGGGAGTAAGGGACGTGAACACAGCAGGCATCTGTGAGAAATGGGGCATCTGGGAGCCTTTGAGGAAGTGGGAGGCACTTGCCTGTCTAAAGGGGCAGCCAGCACTCAGCGCCAGCCCTGGGGGCCATGAGGGTGCCAGGGACCTCAAATGCTCAGACACTTGGCCTTTTCAAGAGGAACCATGATCTCTCATGGCCATTTCCTAGTGTTGAGTTACGTGGTCCTATTCAGAAAACCACCTCACAGATGGCCCGACACATGTGCGCACACTCTGAGGGTCAGAGAGTGTCCACGGGCCAGTTGTCCCCTGATGTGCGGTGACAGCGCTCTCTGTCCGTCACCCTTCTCCTTTGCTCTCTCTGCTGCGTGGCCTCTGCTGCTGATTTTGTTGTTGTCTTCTTATCTTTGCTTCCTTCACAGTTCGCGTTTCCTGTCAGTGGTGAGAAGGTTGTGACTGCTCACAAGTTGTCACGGGGTGTCCCAGTCTCCAGGCAGGTGTCAGTACCAGCAGCCCCCGCACGAGAGCCCCCCAGCACCTCGCCTGTCCTTGTTGGGAGGAACCTCTTCTAGGCCTTGTATGCCAGTTGCAAGATGACCGCAATGATCGTGTCTCCGCGTTCTGCCGCCACTCACAGAACAGGGAGGGAACTGCTCCACTCTATGGTAGTGGGGCCTTATTATCCCAACTACTGTTTTCTTTTTAAATGTTATTTATTTATTTGAAAGGCAGAGTTACAGAGAGAGAGAGAGAGAGAGAGAGAGAGAGAGAGAATGAATATGTCCTCTATCTGCTGGTTCACTCCTCAGGTGGCTGCAATGGCCGGAGCTGTGCTGATCCGAAGCCGGGATCCAGGAGCTTCTTCCAGGTCCCCCATGTGGGTGCAAGGACCCAAGGACTTGGACCATCTTCCAGTGCCTTCCCAGGCCATAGCAGAGAGCTGGATCAGAAGTGAAGCCACCGAACTTGAACTGGCGCCCATATGGGATACTGGCAGTGCATGTGGTGGCTTTAACTGCTACACCGCAGCACCACACACAACTACTATTTACTACTTTTAATGTGTTATATTTATATTTATCCAGCAGATTTTTTAATTTTTTTGGTGCCAATTAAGAGCTATTTAGTGAATCCAGGATCTGGCCCGAGGCAGGACTGCGTCCGGGCATCCTGACCCTGACCACCTGTGACTGGATGCAGCCCCTGCATTTCTGTCTTTTTGTGATCCTGGGCTTTTCTATATTTCTCTTCTGACCATTGCTGGGTGGAGCATCCTTCAGTATGGGTTTGTCAGCTGTTGGCTTGCGACTTGGTTCAGGTTCCATGTTTCTGACGGGATCTCGGGGGGTTTTTAATCCATTTGCTGTTGGCCTAATACAGGGACAGTAGTGAGCAGGCAGACTTCCGGTCTCACCGAGGGCAGAGCTCCTGGCAGGTCAGAGTGTGAGCAGATGCAGTACGCCGTGGCTGCAGGCAGGCAGGGGCCACGGATGTGTTTGGTTTGGAACGTGAGAGTTCCGCAAAGCCGGCGAGTCAGTGTTGAGAGACCCTGGCACTGCACAGACAACCCCAGACTGGCAGTTGCTCTGGAAGAGGGTGGCGATCCCAGCCTCACTCGCGGTGGGGCGCGATTCAGCAGTGCTGGAACTTAGCAGGGGGAAGAGGACCTGGTGTGGCTTGGTGCCTGACGGGAAATCCTTGCAGTGGTGATAGGAGCACTCCAGGCGCACACTCCAGTACCCAGTGCTCGCTCCGCAGGAGAGAGGCCTTGGAGTGTCAGGCGGCTTATGGGTGATGATGATGACGCATAGCAGCTCACATTTATGTGGTGCCTAGTGTGTACCAGACACCTCGAACGTATGTACTTACACACACGTACACTGGTTGTTCTCTCTGCGGTTTTGTCCTCTGATCTAACAGGTGGTACAGCGAGGCTCAGAGAGGCTAAGTGACTTTCTGAGGCCACTCAGAGGCTGAGTCAGCATTCACATCAGGACTGGCTAGACTCAAAGCAGGCACTTTTTCAAGGCATGAGGCCAGGAGGGAGCCCCACCTGTGACATGAGGGCCCTGGGAAGTAACGCATGCAGTTTGAGTGAGTGAACTGACAGGTTTGGAGCTGTGATTTTCGTGTTGTGCTCGGGATGTTTTGGGTGTGTGGCATCTGCAATTAACCACCTTCCTGAGCTGCTTGGAGTTGTTGGGCTGCTTGCCTGGCTCTGTTTGGGAAGTGCAGGGCTGAGCGAGCCACTTTGAGTGTACTTACCCGCCGGCTGATGAGATGAGGGTCACAGAAGAATGGAGGAACAATGGGAGGAGGGGAGAGAGCACTGGAAATCAAATACCACTTTCAGTGCTCCGCCCCGCCTGGCCCAGCTGGCAGGGACAGGAGCCACACAGCTCAGGCAGAACAGCCAAGGAGAAGTACGGCCTTCCTGGAGTGCCATCCCCTGGGCCCCTGCCCTGTGAGAGAAAGGACAAGTCCCCGAGACTTCCTAGGCAGTGTCACAGTGGGCTGTCACTCTCGTGTGGGTGCTTGTGAGGCCGAGCTGCAGCAGGAGGGTGCAGGGTGGCCCAAGACACGTGGCCTGCAGTGTCTGGGAGGCTGGTGAAAATGCAGGTTCCTGGCCCCACCCCGCAGTGTGTGAGCACTTAGAGGGGCCTGGAAATCTGCTTATCACTTTTTAGTTTTTGCCCCTAAATCGGTTGGTGTTTGTGTCCCACGAGCACAGCATTGTCCCTTGTAACTGCAGCGGGACGGTCACAGTGAGAAGTCACGTGGATGCTTTATGCCCTCTGAGTCTCACCTGTGTTCAGCCTGTCCCAGTACCACCTTCCTCGCAATGGCTGCACCAGGAGTGGTGTGTCGCGTGTCGTCATCACGTTTCTTCGGCTGGAAGTTTCTCTCTCTTTTCCTTGGCTGCCCTGACCTTGACGTGTCTGAAGATCACAGGCCAGTGTGTTCTGCAGAGCGTCCTTCTGTTGCGTGGGTTGGGAGAGATTTCCCTTTGCTGAGATTCAGTTCACACATCTGTGGTGGTGGTGGGGGGGTGGTGTCTCAGATCCCAGTGTACTCCTGGGAACTCTTGAGCCTTGGATTCCTCATTCTGGCACAGGGGGACCGTGGTGACACTGGATGGCCAAGAGGGCTGACATGAGGTCAATACGACATGACCCGCTGCTGCAGGATCTCGCAGACTGGATGGGCAAGTGTGCACAGGCCAGGGGTATCCTCGTGCCGGATTTGTTGAGAGAAGCTCCTCTGGGCTGCAGTGGAGGCAGAAGAAGGAGCTGTCACACACCTCTGGGATGGAAGGGGAGCCCGCCCTGCCTGCAGAGATGGTGGCCTTTCAGGAAACTTCGGCAACATCTGTAGCTGTTGACCAGGGGCACTGGGGCAGGTAGGGAGTTGCAGACAGAATACCAGGTCAGCCTTAGCAAGCCCGGCTGGTGTGGGCAACAGGGAGGAGCTGGGGGAGGCCAGGCCCCAGAGTGAGCTGGGGCTCGTGTGACGGTCCTCCAGGCTGCTCCAGGAGCTTCGAGAGCTGTCCCTGGAAGGGAGTGTGTGCGAGTGTGTGAGCGTGTGTGTGTGCGTGCACATGGGGGGCCCAGTCTGCAGAGCACTGTGACTGGGGTGAACGACAGCAGGCTGTGTGGAAGCCCGGAGCAGACTCCCTAAGGTGGCCCTGGGGAGAGACTCTCCTGTCCTCTCACTCTGACGCCGCCACTCCCAGGGAGGCTGCCTGGCTATCTGGGATTATTCCCAGCCTTCCTGGGATGGTGCACCTCCTTGTAGAGGCAGCGGAGAGGAATGGTCAGGGTCTGACTCCAGGCACATTGGCTGAGTTTGAATCGCAGCTCTGCCCCTTGCTGACTTGTCACCCACCAGGCAAATGGGCGGCTGAGTCTGTGGCCACCTACAGTGCACTGCTGACCCATCTCCCTGCCCGTCCTCCCTGAGACCGTGCTGGGGAAATGGCAGCTACTAGTGTGATTGTCAGGGTGAAACTCACCCAGGGTGTGAACACAGAGGCGCTCCACGTAGAGGCCGGGAAGTTAAAATACCTCAGACAAAGGTGACGGCATTGGGGTTGGGCTCAGAGAATGTAACGTGTGCAGTTGGGGAAAAGTGAATTTTTAGCTTTGACAGTGTTTTATTTTGCAGTGGGCTTGACCTTGGCGACTTAAGGAGTGGCTGTAGACCTCACCAAACTATGTGACTTGTGCCTGCTTTGGGCCCATTCTCCCAGTGTGGGGTAGCCTGGCCCCTTGGCCGTGTTCTGCTAGCGGCTGGGTGTGGTTGGTGTCTGCGCCCTGGACGGTAGGTTTGAGGCACCCTCCTACATTCTTCCACGTGGCCTGGGAGAGCTGACTTCCTCTAGGTGTCTTCTGGGATGTTTTCATGCCTGCGAATTACCAAGTGCACTTAGCAGCTTCGTTAGTTTGTTTTGAGTAATTATGCGGTGAGTGGTGCTGTCTGGGGTTGCTGGTTGTTTATTCTGACACAGGGGCAGACATAATTGCTTTATCTCACAAACATTAATTATTGCAGTCACTGGAAGCTGTTTGAGAGGTGCTTGCCACCTACTCGATTTGCTTTCTTGCCTGATGCCTTTAAAGAAAGCCACAGGGTGGCCAGCTGGCACGCTCGGGCTGAGAGTTGGCACGGCACTATGGAACGCTCCAGACGAGTATCTGAATATGTAGTTCTGTCTCCAAGGTTACCGCTCCAGTCCTCCCCATCCTGGCCACCGTCATTTCTTGCCTGGATGACCACCGTGGCCTCTTTCTGGTCTGCCGGCTTCTGTTTGCACCCCTAGCTCTTTTGCTTTTCCCACATGGTGAGTCTACAGTACTCAGCTTAGCACCTGCCATTAGCCCCCCTCCTCGCGGATGTAACATTTGTTATGCTTGCCATGCCTCTGGGGGCCTCCTGATGCCTGCCCTGCTCCAGCCTCTCTGGCTTCCCCGAGTCCCAGGCTCAGGCTGGCCGTGGGCCTTTCTGCCCAGTTCTTTCCTGTGCCCGGAGCCTGGACACTGGTAATAAAGGTGTTGCCATGGACCTTGTGAGAAATGCTGAGTCTCAGGCCTCGTCCCACATGTTCTAAACCACAGTCTGTGTTTTAACAAGACCACAGGTGGTGTGCAGCATGGAGAAGACCATGCCCATTTTTGGGTTGATGCCCTTCCTCACCTCCTCCAGGTCTGGCCTCATTTGTCACCTTCCAGAAAGGCCTTTCCAGGCTCCCGTGTGTGCAACATTTGTGTCCTCGCTTTGTATCCCTTAGCCTTGCTTCAACCCATTGGTAACCAAAATTAAACGACTTGGTCATTGACAGGTTGGTTACCCCTGCTAGTGAACGTCAACTCCATTACGGTACGGCCGAGTCTGCCTGTACCATTTGGAGCTCAATCCTGAGCTTTTTGTGGGTCATATTTTAGGTCTGGAATGTACTTCCAAATAGGATAAGACTGGGGCGAGTGGTGTTAGTAGAGGGAGACTGGGAGAGAATAAGACCGGCTGAGACTTGCAGAGCTGGTGGTGAGTATATGGAGGTTCCTTCTGCTGTTCAGTCATATTTGCTGTGTGTCTTGAATTATCCATAATTAGTTAAAAGTAGCAGCTAGCACTGGCCAGTCAGCTAGCTGAGGATAAATAATAAACAAATAGAAACAGTTCTTGAGAGGTGTTGGGGTGCCATGATCTGATCTGTTGGCATGAAGGGTGGAATAGACTCTCGTTTTTTTTTCCCCCCAAGCATTGTACTCCATATGTATTCAAATAGAAAAAGGATATTTAAAAATTGGGGCATAAGTGAGGCTCCGTGAGGCCAGGGCATTTTGCCCTTTTCCTGTCTAGCTGCATTCTCAGCACCTGGATCGTTCCTGGCGCTCAGTACAGACCTGTGGAATGAATGAGGGTGGGTTGATAGCTTTTGGTAGCAAATGCTGTAGGCCTGTCTGCTAGGAAGGAGGGCCCTGGCCCATGCTGTGGTCAGCCCGATGCAGTGATGGCTGGCAAATAAATCCAGTTGTGTGTTTGTATTCATTTCTTGCCTCGTTCTGTTTGGCTTTTAAGGCGTCTTACACTTTGGCTGTAGGCAGTTAATTTTCAGAAAATTAAAGGGTAATGAAACAGTTGAACCTAGAATTGAACAGAAGCTGGTCTTTGATTCTGAAGTGCAGTCAGGATCCCAGGAAGATAACTGCGGGGTTTCCATTGAACCCGTCAGTTCTCAGAGCATTGAACTTGCCCTGCTGTGCCGCATAATGGAGACTTCTTTGTAGTAGAAGATGGAGTGGACCAGGCTTGACTGGGATTGTTTTGTTGAAATGTCCTAAAATGAGTCTTGTTTATGGCTCACTGAGTTCAAAATGCTCTAAAATCTGAAAGTTTTTGAGCATCAAATGATACCACAAGTGGAAAATCCCATACCTATCGTGTGACAAGTCTCCATCCGGTGCACTGAAGATGGGAGCATTGTATAAAATTGCCTTCAGGTTGTGTGTGTAAAATGTATGTGAAATGTGATTGAATTTCTTGGTTAGGCTTGGGCTCCATATTCACAATATCACATTATATATCTATGCAAAAAATTTCCAAAATCTGAAAAGAATTCAAAATCCGAAGCACTTCCAATCTCAAGTATTTTGGATACAAGGGTATTTCCCTGAGCTACTGATTGATTTGGGCCAGGGTTGAAGTTCCCTGCAGGGGTTGGGAGACCGCCCACTCATTATCCTGGTCTTGTGTAGTTAGTGCGCATCTGATTAGGAGGTGTCAAGTATAAAGTCTTTTTTATTGGGTAATTATAAAATAAATCTCTGTAGTAATAAGAGTGACAAATTTTGTGCAGTTTCTCTGTTGATAAATTAAATTTCTGTTAACAGTATGCAAATTTTTTGCCCAAAGTCTGAGAATTATTTTCTTGGGCTGATAAGATTATAGATGAAAAACAAAACAAAGCAGAACTTGGGCATGGGTTGGGTCAAGAATACCCCCTTTCCACAGTCCTTGCCACGTCCCTCATTCCCTTGTCCCTCACACCAGGTGTTATCCTCTGGCCTGGGCTGTTGACTGCTGTGGGGGGGAAGTCTATATGCATCTTAAGAGACGCTGAGGGGCCGGCGCCGTGGCTCACTAGGCTAATCCTCCGCCTTGCGGCGCTGGCACACCGGGTTCTAGTCCCGGTCAGGGCGCCAGATTCTGTCCCAGTTGCCCCTCTTCCAGGCCAGCTCTCTGCTGTGGCCAGGGAGTGCAGTGGAGGATGGCCCAAGTGCTTGGGCCCTGCACCCCATGGGAGACCAGGAGAAGCACCTGGCTTCGGATCAGCGCGATGCGCTGGCCGCAGTGCGCCGGCTGTAGCGGCCATTGGAGGGTAAACCAACGGCAGAAAAGGAAGACCTTTCTCTCTGTCTCTCTCTCTCACTGTGCACTCTGCCTGTCAAAAATAATAATAATAAAAAAAGAGACGCCGAGGATTGTTGGGAGCACAGCGGTGGTAATGGGGTTGAACTCAGTAGATGTGTACGTTGTGCCTGTGTCACTTTCCTATTGTGATACGCCCTCTAGTTACGCAAGATTAACCATGGTGGAAACCCACTCAAGGGGATACAGGACCTCTTGGTGTCTATCATCTTTGTAACTCTATAATTATTTCAGAATAAAAATATAAAAACCCAGAGGGCGTGGTCTTTGCTGGGGGTCAGCAGCCCGTCGCCTCCTGGAACAGTCAGTGTGCTGGCCAGGGTTGAGTTTCAATGAAGAGAGACTTTGGGGATCCCCCTGTCCTGAAGGTGTCCATATCCTACAAGGACAAGTGAGTTCAATGGTTCACAATCAGCGGGGGCGAAGTGACAGCTCCCAAAGGTGTCCATGCTGTAATTCGATCCATTCTCCATAGCTTCTCACCAGTTTGCTGGAAGTTGAGTTTATATTAAAGAGGGTGGTCTTGTTGTGTTAGGTATGGTTTTTAGATGGAGTCTTTAATGCACTATTAAAAGATTGATTTAAACCAGAAGCAAAGTAGTCGCCTAAAACATTTCCTTGCTGACCACGGAGTTGAGGATAAACAAGGAAGCCAAGGATTGCCCTCTTTGTTGGGAGCCCATGAGATGAGACCTGGCGGCCACATGTGGACATGACTCAGCTCTTGGTCAGCCCAAGAGGAGCCTGCTTATTGGACATCTTGGAAAATGTTCTTCGATGAACTATGGTTGAAATTATGTCATAATTTTCTTTCTTTCCCTACTCTTAAAATAGCATGTGACTTAAATCCACTCATGGAGATTGGGAGTAGGCTGGGGTGGGGATTAGGCTGCAGTCAGTGGACTCTGAACTGGGCGATACCTCCCACACATGTTTTCGGAACTTCCTAGTTGCTAACTTGGAAATATTTGCTACTGATGTCACAGGTGGAGGATGTGAATTGTTGAATGTCACACGTGACAACCCGGCTGATGATCCCATCTTAGTCCACTCTAGAGTGCATGGGGTGTGTAGCCGTTATGTGAGCCTCAGGGAAGACACGGCATGTATCCACCAGCTGTCCGTCATCAGTTACTCTGGGAAGTGGAGCAGGAAGCGAGGGGAAGAAGTTCAGACACTTAAAGGAGTGCAAGAGATATGTCATCCGTAAAGAATTCTGTGTAGAATGTGTGTGTGAGGATGTACAAGCCAGAAGGGGGCTTATTTCAAGGTGCTGGGTTTTTAGCCACGTTTGACATTTCTTTTTAAAAGTGTCCTTATCATTTGAGTCTTTTGCAGTGAATTTTTTTTGTTTTTATGATGGTAGATGAAACTGTTTTAAAAAAAGATTCGTATTAAAAGATTCATTTATTTGGAAGAGTTACAGAATGTAACGCCTCTGTTTTCTATTCATAAAATGGGGTTATCTTCATTCCTCAGAGGCGTCCATGACATCACGTGTAAACACTTGACATGCTGCCTGGCAGATAGTGGCTAATGTGTGTGGCAGCTAATAAAATCATTACGAGTGTTCCCCAGGGTGAGTGAGCAGTACTTGGTCCATGCTTCTGTATCAGTGAAAATGTTGCAAAGCATCTGATGCCGAATGGGCACCCGAAAGACAGATTTGAACCAGCCAGGCCCGGCCCAGGTCAGCTGTGAGTCTGTGTGCTGGACCCAGTGGGTGTTCATTTCATTGTGAGTGGATAGTGCCTGCAAGCATTCCACAAAGGGGCCCTTGCACACGTGGCCTTTCCGAGTGGCCATCCCTGAAACACCAGGATGTGTTGAATTTGTAAGGCACACGTTGTGTGTTGCTTCTTTGCACAGAGCTCCCCACCCCAACACCTTGGGTCTAAATTGCCAATGTTTAAAAATGTTTTTTACCATTCTTGTGCCTGCAGAGAAAACGAGGTGCTCAAAGTCCAGCTGAAGAAATACGTGGGAGCTGTCCAGATGCTGAAAAGAGAAGGTCAAACGGCTGAAGGTGAGGAGGAGACAGCAGGCGGGGAGGGGCCGCGCGTGGTCAGTAACCTCTGTGCCTGGTGTTCAGTAGACACTGAGTCTATGGTGGGTGACCTGCAGATGGATTACTGACAGGGTGCTGTTCAGAAAATTAACTGGAGGGAAAAGTCTGCTGTGTGTTCTTGCTAAGTAGGTAACTAGTACTGTCAGACCGTCTTGCTAGGCTGCCTACAGTAGTAATATCAGTTTGGATACTTAGGGAATTTTATGTCTGGATCTTCAGACACTTGCATGGTAGTGAACCTGTGGCATCAGATTAACCAACTGAATGCCAATTGGTGGAGAGTCAGAGTTGGGGACTTCAAGTGACCATGTCCCACCTGAGTTCAGTTACATTTCTTAATCGCTCTATACCTCAGTTTTCTCATCTGTAAAATGGGGTTAGTAAATAGCACCTACTGTCATGAGGCCATCCGTGTAACTGTCTTAGCATAATACCTAGCATAGAGTAAGTACTAAATAAATTCCAGCTTTTGTTATTGTTGATGTCGTTGATCAGAAATCAAGCAGACGGAGGTGGCCAATGATGCAGTGGTTAAGACACCACTGTTGATGCCCACGTTCTGTGTCACGGTTCCTGGGTTTGAGTCTAGGCTCCACGTGAGATTCCAGCTTCTCGGGTTTACCTGCTGGGGTCGTCTTCCCACCTGAGTGAGGAAGCATCAGCTGATGTCATGAGGGCGTTGAACGCAATGTTTCTCATAAAGCACTTGGTGTACAACAAATGGTTGTTTTCGAAGTGGTGGAAACAGGACTGGAGTCTGTATGTGGCTTGTGTAGCGATACCACAGACACATAGATTTTCTTTATAGCTTTTATATATTTTTGTGGTCACTAGATCAGGATCAGCATATTGGTGATGCTTTAAAAGTTATTATTTATTTGAAAGGCAGAGAGAGGGAGAGAGAGATTGAGAAATTGAGAGAGAGAGAAAAAAATCTCTCTCCCATCCACAGGTGCACCTCCTAAGTGTCGGCAGCAGCCTGAACTTCGTCCAAGTCTCCCAAGGTAGTGGCAGGAACGCAAGGGCTTGAGCTGTGTCTGTTACCTGCTGCCTACCAGGGCGCCTGTTAGTAGGAACCCGGAATCTGCAGCAGCACTGGGGCTCAAAACCAGGTTCTCTGACGTGGGTTGCGGGTGTCGCAGGTGGCATCTTAGCCGCCAAATGCTTGCCTTGGTGAGGCCTTTATTTATTTATTTTTTTGCTGCCACGCCTTGCTTCATTCATGACTGAGCTGTGAGCATTGTCAGTCTGGGTGTTACCAGTGCAGAGTTCATCACAGCTTCCCCTGTGGACTCACTGCTGTTTTCATCCAGACGCTGCTGTAGTGGCCCGAATCCACGTTGTTACGTGGGTTTACGTGGATGCCGCTCTTCCGATATTTCCTTCTCATAATGTTTTCTCAGCAGCTGCCTTTGTAGTCGTTTGTTCTTCCTTAGAGTGGACTGTATTGATGGGGCTGTCCACTCTGCCCAGGCACCTTCAAGTGTGGTCTCACTTGGCTCTAACTCTGCGATACAGATTTTTTTTCTTTCCTTTATAAAAAGTTCATTTTTGTGGGGTCAGATGAGTTTATGGAGTTGGTCCATGCATCTGAGATGAAGATGAAATCAGCTGTTTCTTTCCAATCTCTGTTTTATATTTATTTTTTATTATCTCTTTTTTGCTTTATAAGGTTCTTAAACTTTAGTGCACAGAGGAATTATCTGGGGAGTCTATTAAATATTTTCTTAGTGGCCGGCACAGTGGGTTAAACTGCCACCTGTGATGTTGGCATCTCATGTTGGAGCGCCAGTTCAAGTCCCGACTGCTCTGCTTTTGATCCACCTGCCTGCTAATGGGCCTGGGACAGCAGTGAGAGATGGCCCAAGTGCTTGGGTCCCTGTCGCCCAGGTGGGAGATGAGGATGGAGTTTCAGGGTCCTGGCTTCTGCTTGGCCCAGCCCTGGTCACTGTGGCCATTTGGGAAGTTACCAGCAGATGGAAGATCTCTGTCTCTGTCACTCTGTCTTTCAAATAAATAAATCTGTAAATATGCTTTATTCCACGACTCTACCTCTGGGACTTGCCCAGTGGACAAATGGATCAAGAATAAAGCTTGTTTTTTAAGTGTTTAGTTATTTTCACTTATTTGCAAAGCAGAGAGAGAGAGAGAGAGAGAGAGATGCTTCGTCTGGTTCATTCCCCAAGTGGCCACAGCGATTAGGGCCGGGCCAGGCCGCGGGTGGGAGCTTGGAACTGCATCTGGAACTTCCATGTCGGTGTCAGGGCTCAGGCACTTGAGCCGTCATCTCCTGGCGCCCAGGCTGCATTAATAGGAAGCTGGGTTGGAAGTGGAGGCGCTAGGACTCCAACTGGCACCCTGATCTGTGATGCGGTATCCCGAGGGGTCGCTTAAGCTGCTGCACCACCACACCCGCTCCTAGGTGGGAATTTAGGACATATTTTCTAAGTCTTTGAGCTTGAGGATAAAAAGATGCTTTTTATCTTTTGCCACGAAACTGTTGTTGAAACTGTGAGCTCGCGACAGCAAGGAAAAGATTAAAAAATCACTTAAGTCCCAAGTGCCCTCAGGGTTTAGATTCCTGAGGGCTGTACTGGGATGCTGGCCTTCATTGTTACTATCCAGTGGTGGTGGTGGTGGTGGTGGGGGCGTGCCTCCAGGCTTTGAAAACCAAACAGTTTAGTTAAACTAGATGGCTGACAATCTTTAATTTTGCAGATAACAGGATTTCAGATTCTTGTCCCTTTCTGTGTTTTGAAGGAGTGGTTCTCTTCCTCCAAGAAAAGCGACACAGAGCCAGCAAAATAGGAGAGGAGTTACAGGGGGCCTCTCCGCCTCTTGAAGGTTCCTTTCCCCTGAACGCGGCTGTCCGGCAGGAAAAACCAGCCTGGGTTCTGCATTCCTCCAGTGCTGTTCTCCCCGGGCAAGGTCAGATTTGCCGACAGGGGACGCCCTGCTTGTGTCTCATCCCAGACCCAGCTGTAGCCACAGGCAACTCGCTTGGCCATGAATCGCTTACTATAATTCTTCTGGTACACCTGCTCTGTGGTCCGGCTCGTGCACTTGGACTCCCTTTCTCCTCTCTGGGGAGCCGGTGTCGGTCAGCTCTCACTCATTCCATGTTTACAGCTGAAGTTGGAGAGGAGGTGTACAGCAAAGCTGGCCTCTTGCCTGCAGAGGCTCCCTGGGAGCCGGGAGGGGTCTGGGAAGCATGGGGATCCCGTGAGCCTCAGGTGGGTCATGTTGACAAGACAGACTGGTTCTCTTAAGCGTGCATGTGTGTTAGCCCAGCACGTGGGCAGTGAGGTGTAGCTAGAAGAGCGCTGGATGCACAGGAGGGAGGTAGGGCCCTGCTGGGTAGATCAGAAGACCTGCCTATGGTGGGGCTCCTTCCCTGCCGTGTCTTCAGCTGGCTGAAGCTGGGTCCCGGGACACTAGAATGAAACAACAAGAGGTTTTGTCTTTCCTGTTGGGCCTGGGAAGCCAGGGGCACTTCGCCAACTTGTATTCACATGGAGCCTGATGAGTACAAGGTCCTCGGACCCAAAGAGGAGCCTAGGTGAGAGGCGGAGAGCACTGGGTTCTGACATGGGCTCTGCGCCTGGTGGGTCTATGCAGCCCTGAACTTCTGGGTAATACAAGCAGTCATTCCCCAGCACTTCGCTGCTGCTGCTGTCACGTTTGACTCGGATTTTCATCACTCACATGCCCCACAGGTGGACGGGTACCTCCTCCCTGGGCACAGCTTCCTCTGGAGTCCGCGTCTTTCCATGGCCACAGCGTCCGCTCCTGCTGGGAGGTTCCCCGCCCCCTCTTGTTAGGTCCACTGCACTGCCACAGCCGTCCTGGCCTCTGCGGTCCTGTTCTGTAGCGACGGATCTGCAGCCGTGAGCTCCCGCCGGCGTCTGTGGATTCCTGCGCTGCGACTCGGGGAGAGGGGGCCGAGGGATGGCTGTGCTGGGGGCAGTCAGAGTAGTCACCGCCAGGGCAGAGACGGAAGCTTGGGAGCGGTTTTACACATTTGTGCTGAGAAATGAAAGGAGGTGCTGGGCCTTGGCCAGCCGCCTCTGCGTGCTGTGTCTGGGCCCTGGCCAGCCTCCTCTGTGTGCCGTGTCTAGGCCCTGGCCAGCCTCTTCTGCGAGCCGTGTCTGGACTGGGCGTGTGATGTGCTTGGTGATGCCTGGTTCCACACCTGCCTGTGTTCTCTGCTCTCCCCACGGCGTCTGGTGTCCTGGAAGCCAGGGCAGGGCAGTCTCCAGGGCAGGCTGTCTCGGGCCAGAGGCTTCCCACAGCCCCTGTGCCTGGGCCGCGTGCATCGGGACGTCTCATCCTGTGGCCTGCACTGTTGCAGGCTCCAAGCCGTCTCCACCTGCCCGGCCTGCTGTTCCCACTGCCAGTGTGCGCAGAGCCCAGCGTCTCTGCTTACAAGGAAGGGCGGGCCCCGTGCCGGTTACTGGGCACACTGAACGGCAGGCTTGCCCTGAGCTTACGCAGATGCCGGCGGCAGCTCTGCTGACAGGAGGTGCTCTGGGGTTTCCATGGGTTCTTCCTCTCCTGGAGCTGGGGTTCAGAGGTGCACCTGGCAGCGCTAGGGGCCAGGCTTAAGAAAGAAGTCGCAAGGCTACTTAGCAGTGGCTGCTGGCCCATGCAGAGGAGAATCGCACGCGGGCAGGGAAGGCCTATGCTGAAATCTGTGGAGCCGGCGAGCACAGTGGGCAGGGCTGCTGTGGCTTCCCTCCAGTGGAGATGGGTCCTGGCCTGGCCTCCCCCACCCTGTAATTTTTTTTTAAGATAAAATTGTTCGAGGTCTCTTTTGCTCTCTTACACACGCACACACACCCCACACTAAACCAACCACACCACACCACACCACACAATACCACACCACACAAAATGGCTGGTGTTGTGGTGCAACAGGTTAAGCCTCTGCTTGCAATGCCAGCACCCCATATGGAACTGGTTTGAGTCCCAGCTGCTCCACTTCTGATCCAGCTCCCTGCCAATGGCCTGGGAAAGCAGCAGAATGGCTCAAGCGTTGGGGCCCCTGCACCCACATGGGAGGCCCACATGAAGCTCCTGGTCACTGTGGCCATTTGGAGAGTGAATCAACAATGGAAGATCTCTCTGTGTCTCTCCTTCTCTCTCTGTCTTTCAAATCAATCAATCAATCAATCAATCTTCTTTTTTTTTTTTTTTTAAAGGAAGCGTAGGCCACCAAATCTCTCTCTCTCTTTCTTCTGACCCTCTCTCTCTCTTTCTCTCTCCCCCGTCCCCCGCCCTCCCCCCCGTGTGTGTGTGTGTGTGTGTGTGCGTGCCTCTTCATTGGTCTAATCACAGAACCTTACAGAAACATGAACCTGATCCTATGACCCTGGTTTCCCATGGGTGATGGTGTCAGTGCTTAATATGCTCTCGTGCTTTCCTCAGCTCCACCCTCATGCCCCTGCCACTGCCTCCTCCCTCTCTGTACCCTGGCCATTCTGGCCTTGGGGCTGTTCTTCAAAGTCTGGTTCCTGCTTCAAGGCCTTTGCACCTGCTGTCCATCTCCTGGAATGCCCTTCACCCTGTCTCTGCATGGCTGCTCACCCTTGCCAAGTCGGTATCGGATCAGATGTCATCTGCTCCCGGCCGCCCTGTCTTGTGTGTGCTGTTCTTCATTCCATCACTGTCGTTTCTCCATCCTCCCTCCCTCCCTCCCTCCTTCCCTTCCTTCCTTTCCCCGCCTCCTCCCTCCCTCCCTTCCTTCTCCTCCTTCTTCGAAGAGAAAAAAAAAAAAAAAAGCCTTCTTCTCCTCTTTCCTTCCCTCCCTCCTACCTCCTTCCCTCCCTCCCTTCTCCCTCTCTCCCTCCCTCCCTTCTCCCTCCTTCCCTCCCTTCCCTTTCTTCTCCCTCCCTCCCTCCTCCCTTCCTTCCTTCCTTCTCCCTCCCTCCCTCCCTCCCTTCCAAGATTTATTTATTTATTTGATTGAGAGGCAGAGTTTCATACAGAGGGAGACAGAGAGATGTTTTCCATTTGCTGGTTCACTCCCCAAGTTGCTACAGTGGCCAGAGCTAGGCTGATCCAAAGCTGCTTCTGGTTCTGCCACATGGGTTCAAGAGTCTGAGCACGTGGGCCATCTTCCACTGCTTTCTCAGGCCATCAACAGAGATCTGGATCAGAAGAGGAGCAGCTGGGACACGAACTGGCGCCCATATGGGATGCTGGTGCCTCAGGTGGAGGGTTAACCCACTAGGCTGCAGCACCTGCCCCACTGTCTTTAATCTTCACCACGGCACTTTTCAAAGCCTCAAAGTGGCTTGACTGTTTGTTCCCTAGCTTGTTTTCTGTCTCTGTTCCACCCAGCACTAGCCAGTCCACAGGAGCCTTGCCTGTGTTTACCCCTGTTGCACTCAACGTGCCTTGCACAGAGCTTGATCTGTGGTGTGTGCTCTGCGAATGCTCACAGCACGGATGGATGGACAGCTCCTAGGGGCTCTGGTGAGCCCCGGCCTCATGGCATTCGGGTGGTTCCGGATCCATGGCACCTGTGGGGAGCACACAGGTCATGGGTCGTGGTTCTCCTGCCACACGAATCCTGTGCTGTGCCCCACATAACTGTCTTGTGGCTGTGCCTCCCAGAGCTTGTTCAGCTCAGGTGTGGTTACCTGGGGAGAGTGGGGAGTCCAGGACCAGACATCAGACTTGGGGGAAGTCAGGACCACGGACTCAGCGCCTCTCAGTACCAGTGGGACGTGCAGACACGGCAGCTCTCGGCAGTTTCGTCTTCCTGCACGCGTGCTTCTCCTTCCACGGTGAAAGGGCAGCCTTACCCTCAAGAAGCAGCTTGGAGAGGGTGAGAACAGAGAATGAGGGGCGAGGTGGGCACTGGTTTTCCCCTTGGGGGTTCTGAGTAGAGTTCCAGCCTGGTCACTGATATGTGTGTGTGTGTGTGTGTGTGTGTTTAAATTTATTTTATTTATTTGAAAGAGTTACAGAGAGAGGGAGAGGCAGAGAGAGGTCTTTCATCCTGTGGTTCACTCCCTAAATGACTACAACAGCGGAGCTGGTCCAGGCCAAAGTCAGGAGCCAGGAGCTGCTTCTTGTCTCCCCGTGGATGCAGGGTCCCATGCACTTGGGCTGTTTTCCAGTGCTTTCCCAGGCACATGAGCGAGGGCTGGATCGGAAGTGGAGTAGCTGGGACGCGAACTGACACCCATATGGGATGCTGGCTCTGCAGGCGGTGGTTTAACCTGCTGTGCCACAGCACTGACCCAGATCTGTGTTCTTGAAGGAGCTGATCTCTCAGAGCTTCAGTATTTTCACGTAAAGTGCTAGACAATTACTGATTCCATTTGGAGTTGGAGATGCGTCTTTAAGAGTGTCCAGGCCGCAGAAGGTCAAGGTTTGTTAGCTTCACCTGTGGATTAGTTTCTCAAAGTAGGTGAATAACGATGATTGTGGTTGAAGGGTAAACCTCTTCGAAAGCCTTGGAGCCTGTTGTCCTGTTAGCACAGCGTTCATGTGGTTAGAGAGTTTCCTGAGCTTTAAACCAAACCTGCTTAGTAGCCCCGGGACCTGGCCCTACTGCCAGCACCACAAGTCAAGGCAGGACATAGTGGCCAAAGGGTTGATTTCTTAAAATTATAATGTATTGGAAAGTCCAGGAAATAATATATCGAACACCAAATGTATGCACCACTCAGATGTAACAGCTGTTTGTATTTTGCCACATTTATTTCAGACTGAAAAAAGCATCATTCTGAGTTACAGGTGCAGTTGAGGGTGTGCTTACATGTGCATCCCCACAGATGATTCCAGGTCAGCTCTGACACAGCCCCAGTAGTCCTGGGACTGAGTGAGGTGCTGGAGGGGGAGTGGAGAGAGTTTTGGTGGCATAGCAGGTGCATCTGCCTGCTCATGGCATGCTGGGGGAGGGGTGGGATGGATAGCAGCAGCCCCATGGCACACTAGATGGAGAATTGGAGGGCTTGCACCTCAGAAATAAGAGATGGTTTTGAAAGGCAGAGTTACACACACACACACACACGAGAGATAGATAGATAGAGAGAGAGAGAGAGAGAGAGAGAGAGAGAGAAAGAGAAAGAAGGAGGGGGATTCAGACACTCCCCAAATGGCTGCAACTGCTGGAGCTGGGGTGATCTGAAGCCAGGAGCCAGGAGCTTCTTCTGGATCTCCCATCTGGTGCAGGGGCCCAAGGACCTGTTCCTTCCTCTGCTGCTTTCCCAGGCTCATTAGCAAGGAGCTGGATCAGAAGTGGAACAGCCGGGATTCAAACTGGCGCCCATATGGGATGCTGGCTCTATGCCACAGCTCGCTCTCTCTCTTAAGATTTATCTTTATTATTGGAACGATACAGAGAAGATTAGCATGGCCCCTGCGCAAGGATGACACGCAAATTCGTGAAGTGTTCCATATTTTTAGCGTTTTGTTGATCACTTTCCCAAGTCAATAAATCATTCAAAAGCAAAAAAAAAAAAAAAAAAAAAGATTTATCTTTATTTATTTGAAAGGCACAGTTAGAGTGAGAGTGAGTTTTTTTTGTTTGTTTTTTGGACAGGCAGATTTAGACAGTGAGAGAGACAGAGAGGAAGGTCTTCTTTTTTCTGTTGGTTCACCCCCCAAATGCCTGCTACAGCTGGCGCTGTGCCGATCCGAAGCCAGGAGCCAGGTGCTTCCTTCTGGTCTCCCATGCAGGTGCAGAGCCCAAGGACTTGGGCCATCCTCCACTGCCTTCCTGGGCCACATCAGAGAGCTGCACTGGAAGAGAGGCAACTGGGACAGAATCCACCGCCCCAACTGGGATTAGAACCCAGGGTGCCGGCACCACAGGTGGAGGATTAGCCAAGTGAGCTGTGGCGCCGGCCACGAGTTTCTATCTACTGATTTACTCCCCAAATAGCTGCGTTGGCCAGGGCTATGCCAGTCTAAAGTCAGGAACCAGGCACTTCTTCTAGGTCTCCCACAAGGGGGCAGGGGCCCAAGCAGTTGGACCATCTTCTGCTGCTTTGCCAGGCACATTAGCAGGGAGCTGGATCAGAGGTGGAACAGCTGGGTCTCACACTGGCACTCACATGGTATGTCGCTGTTGCAGGTGGTTGCTTAACCCACTGTGCCACAGCACTGGCCCTGAGATGGCTTCTGATAAGGAGAAGAGAGGGTGTTGGGTTGCAGGCCCACAGATGACCATGCAGCCGAATGATTTGGGAAAGTGGCAACTCCAAAGTGTTTTATACAGAAGAGGTTTGGTGGTTAGAGATCTTACTGGAAGGGGGTTTGAGAGCATTGTTGTAAAAGTGCATTTTCCTAGCAATCACCCGCTTTGATGAAATTTTGATGTTTATTTGGGAGATTGTATCTGGCTTGTGTAACAGAGAAAACCCACGTGCCAGTGCTTTCTGTAAGACTGTTCTCTCCTCTGGCAGAAGCGGCGAGTCCAGAGCTGGTGTGATGGCGTCGTGGCCATCAGGGACCCAGGGGCTTCTCTGCCCCTGCTCTGTCCGCAGTGCATGGCTCTCCTCCTGGGATGGCCTCCCCGCGCTCCAGCCCCACGTGTGTGCTTTCTGCAGGCGGAAGCAGGCAGTTGGATGGGCGGAGATGCATCTCCGAGCTGGGCTGCATACCGGTCTGGAGCTTTAAGGAGGACAAGCTTGCTTGCAGACTGCTCCTGCCCTCCATCACCCCTCTCACAGCTCTCTGGCTACCCTAATGGAAAGGAAGCCTGGGAAATGGGGTTGCGTGATGGACACATAAGGAAAAAGGGACAGTGGACACCGGCACCCTTTGTGCCAGCCCTACTGGGAAAGCTCCACCAAAGACCTGGGGTCAAGGTTGCAAGAGCACCACGTCCCGGGTTCTGGAAGTGGCCGTGTCTCTCTGACGACCTCCTCAAGGGGCGATGTTTTGTTTGCTCTCCCTGGTTTCATCTCCAGCTGGCTGCTTGCCTCCCCCAAATCATTACGAGAGCAATTGCCTGCGAATAATAAGTATTGATGTGTGATTTTTGTTCATTTCCTTTTTCTTGTTTGGCAGGAAACAAAGGCACAGACAAACAGCAGTGGGACTGCTTCCTCTGCTTCCCGGGCCCTGGCCAGACGCGTGTTTATCCCCGCTGTCATCGTCCCTTTTCGGGCCGTGTGGGCATTGTGATTACTGTCGGGTGCTTGTCACTCAGCGTCTCCTTCAGTTTGCAGCTCCTCTCCTTCCTGGAGGCTGACAGGTGGCTTGTTTTGTTAAATGCCACTTTGGTTTTGAAGACTGTGCTGTTTTAAGTTTCTAATTACAGCTTTCGTAAGGCAACTGGTCATTTTGCCTCGCTTGAGTGGGTAGCGATGCCTGGTACCTTGGTGAGAGCAGCTTGTCTAAATGCTTTCTTTATCTTGGATTGGATGGGAAAGAGACACCCTCTCTAGAGACAAGGCCCATGCGCCTTTTGGGGTATCTCTGGCTGATGGCCTCGCTCGTTCTCCATCTGCCTCTGGGTTCTCTCTCTGGCTGATGGCCTCGCTCGTTCTCCCTCTGCCTCTGGGTTCTCTCTCTGGCTGATGGCCTCGCTCGTTCTCCATCTGCCTCTGGGTTCTCTCTCTGGCTGATGGCCTCGCTCGTTCTTTGCAGAGTGGAAACGCACCACTCTGTTCCCTCTCTGGGGCGCGGCCCCACACCAGCTCCAGTCTTCACACCACCTGGGCTACCACACTCACCAGCCAGATGGCACTGCTCCAGGAAGCCCTCCCCTAGAGCTGAGAGGATGGCTGCCTGTTTCATAGCCCAGTTCTAAAACTGCTGGAGATGATCAGTGGATGTTTAGTGAGTGAAAGCCTAACAGGCCGTCGGGTGTCTTACAGTACAGCAGCTAACGTGCGTTCAGAACCGCACACCAAGCCTTGTGCTGGCCGCTGAGCAGGCAGCCCGCCCTGTTCCCATCTTATAGGGGAGGAAACTGAAGCTTAGAAAGTTTGGAGCAGTGTGTGTGAGGGGTCCAGACTGAGTTTTGGTCCCCGCCACACACTTTGTGCAAGTGTTAGATTGTCAACATTGCCATCACCGTGGGGCGCTTGGCCCCAGTGCACAGCTGACAGTGGGAGGGCTTGGACCTTGGAGGCCTTGACCGGGAAGGGAGGAATGCACCTGTCTGCCCCCTGGAGCTCGCACCCTGGGGCCCTGGGTTGTGGGAGAGGGAGTGCTGGCTTTTCCAGGTTGCTGTGAGCTGTGGGACATGCATTTGGGCACTCAGGACCAGACTGACTGCAGGCCTTGCAGGCACACGCCTGAGCTGGAGTTTCTTGCCCTGCCAGGCTCCCCATTACTGTTTCTTTTCTTCTTCTTCTTCTTCTTCCTTCTTCCTTCTTCCTTCTTCCTTCTTCCTTCTTCCTTCTTTTTTTTTTTTTTTGACAGGCAGGGTGGACAGTGAGACAGAGAGAAAGGTCTTCCTTTTGCCGTTGGTTCACCCTCCAATGGCCGCCACGGCCGGCACATTGCGCTGATCTGAAGCCAGGAGCCAGGTGCTTCTCCTGGTCTCCCATGGGGTGCAGGGCCCAAGCACTTGGGCCATCCTCCACTGCACTCCCTGGCCACAGCAGAGAGCTGGCCTGGAAGAGGGGCAACCGGGACAGAACCGGCGCCCTGACCGGGACTAGAACCTGGTGTGCCAGTGCCGCAGGCAGAGGATTAGCCTAGTGAGCCGCGGCGCTGGCCCCCATTACTATTTCATTTCTCTTAGATTCTTCCCCCAAATCTCACTGTTTTGGGGACATACTATTTCCAAAACACCATGCTTCCTCCAGATGGAGCCAATTAGGTCAAGCTACGCTCTACCTTTAATTACTCTTGCCTTCATTTGCATCCGGTTCCTCTCATTATAATGCTATTAGCAGTATGCAGCACCCCCCCCCCCCCCCCCCCTGGGCTATCAGGAATGAGCTGGGAGCTGGCGCAGTGGCAAGGCCTTGCCTTTGTGGCCTTGGTTGCCTTCTGGGTAAAGCCAAGGGCTTGGAGCTGACAGCAACCCCCGGCTGCCTGCACTCCACAGGGCCGGCCTTCAGTGGGTTTCAGCCTTTACTGTTGGTAAACAATCTGTGTTTTCTTTATTTATGGAGAGTTAAGAAATGGTGGAGATGAGCATGAAAGGAGAAGATAGGAGTTATTTGTAAGCCCTCGGGCACGGGTGATACTTTGGAGTGGATTCTGTCAGACAGGTATGGCAGTTTGCTCTTACTCAAACTCAAACTATTATTCAAGCTCTTGGGGTCTGCATCTCCTGTCCCAAGGGCTTAGCAAACCCTCCCTGCAATAGTGATTATTTTTTTTAAGATTTATTTATTTCAAAGGCAGAGTGACATAGAGGGAGTGTCTCTCTCTCTCTCTCTCTCTCTCTCTCTCTCTCTCTGTCACACACACACATACACACACTCACACACACACACAGAGTGAGCTGCCACCTGCTGATTCACTCCCCAGATGGTCACAATAGGCAGGGCTGGGCCAGGCTAAAGCTGGGAGCCCAGAGCTGAGTCCAGGTCTCCAATGTGGACAGCAGGGACCCAAGCACTTGGACCATCCTCCGCTGCCTTCCCAGGCGCCTTAGTAGGCAGCTGGATCAGAAGTGGAGTAGCTGGGTCTTGAATTGGCGCTCCAGTATGGGATGCTGGTGTCACAGTGGCAGTGTGCCCTGCTGTGCCCTAACACCGGCTCCTCCAGCCTTACTTGACACTTGGACTTCTTATGGGCTAAGAAGAAAGCTGATGGAAGAAAAATGATAATAATTGGTGGGGATTTCCATAGGAAGCGCAGGCAGTGGTGCAGCGTGAGTGGGGTCAGTGTGAGGTCCCTGTCAGGGTGTGTCTGAGATGCCTGGCGCAGAGTTTGGTGGGCATGCCTCCTTCCTCTTCCTTCACTCTTCCAGAGGAAAACAGGGCAGCGTTCATCAGGCAGCTGGTTCTAAGAAGCATTAGAGCGTAAAGACGTAGATTGCGCTGAGGGTGGTGGGGGGCAGTGTTGTGGTATGGCTGGTCAAGCCAATGCTTAAGAGACTAGCAACCCGTATTGGAGTGTCAGTTCCAGTCCTGCTGCTATTACAGCTCCCTGCTTATGTGCCTGGGAAAGCTGCAGAAGATGGCCCAAGTGCTTGGCCCCCACAACCTACATAGGATATCTGAAGGGAGCCCCTGGCTGCAGCATCCACTAGTCCTGGCTATTGTGGCCTTGGGGAGTGAACTATTGGATGGAAGATCTCTCTTTGTGTCTCCGTCCAACTCTCTTTCTCTCTCCCCCTCTCTCCTCTTCTGCCTTTTAAATAAATAAATAAATAAATACATGTTAAGAGATTTACACCGTGGGTTGTGCCATGGAATGTTCTAGCTCTGCGCTTTGCTCGCAGTATGATCTTGGGCACCTTACTTGGCCCCCTCCCCTCCAGTCCTCTGG